GGCGGGGTGGGGGGGGGGGGGAAAGGGGGGGGGGGGGGGGGGGCTGAAAGTGGGGCCGATCGAGATAACACTACCCTAGGAGGTCCGGGGGCCACGGCGAAATTCTTGTTTTTCTAGACGCCCAAAAATAACCTCGAGGCGTACTGGGTGATCATTTTTTTCCTTTCCTTTTATTTATTTTATTTTTACTTCAAAAGGGGCGAGGGCGTGGTTGACCCCTCCCCACCCCCATTCCGCCCCTGAAAAAAAGAAAAAAAAGCAAAAGGACAAAAAATACGAAACATAAAAAATGAATAAATAAATAAATTCACAGTCTGTGGTGCGGCCAATTAAACATTATAACAAATCAAATAACATAAGTAAAAGCTTAATCATAAAGAACTAAAACTAGCTAAAAATATTAAAATTTTAGTTAACAAAGCTTGACTAGCGCCCTCTAGTTCGAAAGGAAAACAAACAAAATGGAAGATTTACCGACAGAGTATGATGAAATTATATTAGGAACAGGTAGTAACTTATTAATAGCCTTGTAGTTGATTGTTATGAAAGTGGATTTGTAAGATATGACTTTCATATGGATCACTCTTTGAGCTGAGGTTAATTTTAGATTAATCATGGTAATTTTTCCTAAGCACTAAACTTTAGCCATATTCCTGGCTGCTTGTGTGTAGGCCTAGGATAGGTAGGAGTGTTAGTTGTTGTTTGGATACGGTAGGGCACTGAAGGCGCTTGGTGCAGCTGGTCAGGAAAGGCTAACTTATCAGGCCTAGGCTGGGGCCTAGCCTAGTTGATATAATCCATGACTGGAGTATTATTACTAAAGTAGCTAGCAGTAGCCCGGGTTTAGCCAGTAAGTCCTAGCCTAGGCCTAGTGCCAGTCAATGACGTTATTATTCAAATTCAATTCAAATTTCAAGTTATATTATTTGTCCATTTGTTGTACAGTGTAAAAAAAAGACATAGGCCTAGGCTAGGCCTACATGGAAATAATGGATAACAATTACACACATACGGCCAGGGCCTAGGATCAGAATTTTAGTTAGTTAGAGATCTAGCCTATGCTAGGACCCTAGGCCTACATCCATAACATACAATTTCTATACGTTCCTCATGAGGGAATATGACCGGTTGAGCCGCCAACAAGTTGAGCCGCCGGTAATTTCTATGGAACGCCAAGCATGTCTCTCAGTGAATGTAGTGCGTTTCTCAGTGAATGTACAGTAGTCGGTTTGCCAATGTCATCAGTGAATGAACCCCCCGGATACCAGCTACTGTACATATTCATCCCACAGTCTTGTCAGTCGTTGATTTGCTCGTATTGCCGTTCGTGATGTATAATTGTGTAATTGATTATTAGAATTTTTATATTTTTATGTACTACATTTTTATAAAAATATATGAAGTTGTATAATTGCAAAATCGTATTAAAAATGTAATTTTATGTACTACATTTTTATAAAAATAAATGAAGTTG